GCAGGAAAAAGTAAGTATAAGATAGGAAGTTGTTAAACAGTTCTCCCTGCCCAGTCACCTCCTTCTGAGACCCAAGACATTTTCCTCAGCCAAATTGAAGACTAAAGCAAGTACAGCACAATAATTACTTCAACAGTCTTAGTTTTATCCATGGTAACACTCCAACTCAAGAGTTTTCTGGCTCTCAGCTCCCACTTGTGCTAGAAGCAAGGAAAATGTCAAAATAACCAAACTTTTAACTGTTTTTTCCAAGTTCAGGCAGACAGCATAGTGTCATCTGCTAACAAAATGGCATTTCATTTCTCCAGAAACTGCTTCAAACATGCAATCTTTCCGTACTTGATCTCCTAACCTCAGTATCACCAGGCTCATTCAGTCCTGGGAAGAGACTATCAGGAAAAACTCACTGCTGCAGACATGTTTGGCAAATTATTACCTAGGATTGTCATCCTGCCTACTTTACAGTCCCTTCTGCATCCAGTCAAACAGTGCATTATTCTTAGTAACATGCTGGCTTTATCTTGCACTTTTTCCTGCTTCTTACAGCTGCCAACATTACAGATTTCCTGGAATTCAGGGGACTCAGTGCAAGTAGGATTTCGACAAGATAAAGGGACATTTGTGATACATTCATCCCTAATGTTACATATCTGGGAACAGATTTTCCAGAAAAGATCAATGACAAAAAACTGCAACTGAAGCTGGGAAGAAAAAGTACTTTCCAGCACTCAGAGAGGATGTTACAAACCTGTAAAGCCAAACAATTTGCTTGTTTGAATCTAAAGATCAACAACTTCTGACTCTGAAGAACACTGACTGCTCCTACCTGTACTTGCTTCTAGATACTTGGGCTCACTGGAAATCCCTTTCTTCACATGATGAACTGTGATATTGTACATGGTGCCAGGCTGGAGACCCACAATCTCACAGATGAATTGTTCTTTGGGCATGTGGACTTGTTTCACCAATGTTTCATACCCTACTGGATAATAGCTGATGAGGTAATTATCTATATCAATCATTGGATCCCAGAGGACAGCCAGAGAGTTCTCTGTGGAGTTCAGTAGCTGCAGGTTCTGAGGAGCAAGCACTAGAAGACAAACAAAGGAAAACATTGCAAAGAAGTTGATGTCTTGTCACGTGGTCAAGCGAGACAGTTTTTCAAACCTATTTTGAATACAGACAGAATGCAGAACTAGAAGTCCCAGTCTGAAATCATCTTGGATTTGTCCATTTCTGGTACATCAATAAATATAAATGAATACTACAGCCAGTAACAAATACAGTGATTTCCTGGATGACTCTTTCCAGCTTCTAAACCCACACTGGCATGAGGAAAAAGCTGTCATGAAGCTGTCCCTTGTAATGCCTCTAGGAAGAAAAAGACAAGCCAAAACCTTCTTTTCCTATTACTGTCAGAGTTATTTCAAAATGTCAACTGGTCCCCAAAACTGGGGAACAGCTTCTTCATGGCAGAGCAGAAAACTGAGCTTTTCTAGTGATGGAAACTTACACTTGGTGCCTGGAGGAGACCTGGGCAAATCCACTGCACATAATAGATTTCAGGACACCAACAGCACCTTAACCATTTTGCCACAAGACAGAGAGCTCATCGGTGTCCTGAAGCAGCCTTTGAAAACATTCAATGTAGAAAATCTGTCAGAAAGTTTACCTGATTTTAATTACAAGTATGCACATCATAAACTCATCATAAACCATCTACCAGCTGTATTTCATTAACAAGGCACCAACAGATAGCAAAGAATAGATATCAACTGCCTATAGTGCCCGTAAAAAGGACTGTCAGCAACATTAGGTCAGATATATCAGGAGATTCTTCTCACTTGAAAGGCAGCATTCATTCCCTTGTGTAACTCACAGCTTTCACTGAATTCCACCCTTGATATGTGCATGCCATTGCTTTTGATAAAAACTTTGCACAAAATGCAAGAATATCCATCCTGCCTTTTCTTATGATATAGAAGCTAGATACGAATAATTCATATTTGCAATAAAATAATAAAGAACCTAAGCACATACGGTGTGGTTTATCCCTTGTCTAAGCATAGTTCAGAAGAGGATTCTATCTGCCTTTCTGGACAGATGTGGCATAAGAAACCACTGTCATCTGCTTAGGACAATGCCTAGGACAGTTTGTTTCCAAGCAGGCTATTCTGACAAGGGGTTCTTGCAAAGGCAGTGACTCTCTAGCCCAGAGGAATCTGCTTTTGCAATGTGTTTGTTTGCTCTGCCCTAAGATGCTCCAGAGCCATATTCTCCAAGCAACATGACAACCCCAAGCACTTCACGATTTGGTAAAAACATGCCTGGTCAGGGCCAGGGGTGTGAAGGGGAAGGAGGCAACTGCCTAGCCTTGGTAACCCTTGAAAACCTCCTCCTCTCGCTCTCCAACAGCAGAGGACCTCCTAGCCCAAACAGAAAGGGTTCATCACAGGCACAGCACTAGTTGCTCAGGTGAATTAGGAGGACGGGTGGTTGTGGGCTGTGCCAGAGTCCATCTTGTGTTCTTCTCACTCTCTTTAATCTCTCTCCATCAGGCAGCTTCTCCTCTGGAAGCAGGCTGAGGTCCTAAGGGCTGAAGCAAGCAGGAAATGAGCAGCACATTTAGAGATCCAGCACTGGGCTGAGAGCTCACATGGGGGCTTGTGGGGAACCCTGGCTCCTCTGGAAACACCAGTGTCCCTCTTTATTGCCTTTTCCAATTTCCTGATTACAGCATCAACACAAAGACTTCCTGGTTAAACTAATACCATGCCGAGATACCAAAAAACTGGTTTTGTGGATACCATCACTCTAAGATGCTCATTTATTCATCTTCAGATATCCCACAGTGTTACTCTGGAGTGCCAGTAAACAAAGTCCAGGAAGAGCACAGGCCAATACCTGCTGTTCAATGTGTCCTTGTCCTCTATTTCTCCTTCAGAAGCAACTGCAAGATATTATACTGTTGCATGCTTGATAGTGACATCTGCATGTTCAGACATTCCAGTTATCATGGCAATATACAACAAAATGTGTCATTTAATGATCTAAGACACATAAATAAACAAAACCAATGCTCAGTAAATCTCCCAGGATGCAGAAATCTAACCCAAAATTGAACAGAAAAGGCAATTTGACACCTATGGGAGATGAGCTACGGATGCTGGGAGGGGAATTATTTGCCTTCGGACTTAAA